TTTCGTAAACAAATTTATGAGCAACAAAATCTTAAGTAAAAGTGCGGTTATTGATTTAAACAAACCTTTGTTCTTGAAGCTCTTAGAAGTTTTCTTTCGATGTCACGAGCTATTTCATTCACCAATATCTCTTCATCTCTAGAAAAAGAAGCATATCTATAAAAAAGAAGGTAATACGCATTATAATCGAAAGTGTGAATTGGAGTTAGACCTCAAATGTGCAGTACTCCATCCGGGGAGGTTAATGGCTTTTGCAAAACCATCTTTCCATTCTTGAAGCTGCTCGGCTTTATCCCGTCGCTTAGCAAAGGCATCTCCAAAGCTTCCTGTCTGATTCTCAATGTCGAGAGGATCAACATGGTAAAGGACAGGTATCACAATCTGACCAAACACCTCTTTGCATTTCAAGATGGCTACAACTTCATCCAAACACCATTTTGAATCCCCAAAGTTCTCCGAGAACACAATCACTGAAACTCTCGATACTTGGATTGCTTTTAACGACTCTTTATATCTCTCTTCGATTGGTACTTCGTCATATAAAAAGGTTTTGATCCGTTTCCTACGTAGACAACCACATAGATGGCTTACGAAATTGTCACGAGTGTCTTTGCTCCTGAAACTTATGAACACATCGTGTTTCATTTTAGGATTTGATTTCATTCTTTCTTCTTAACATGCCAATCTTTCTTCTTCTCTAACCATCTTTATACTCTCTCTCTTTTTTTTGTTCGACCAACATGACCACTTAAATTTCCTTGTAGTTTCCTTTGAATTATATATTTTCCTCAGTACAAAGGAACTCGACTCTTTTTTTCATCGCATTTTCATAGCTTTTCTTCGTAGTTTCTCGGAAGTTCATGTTTTTAGTATTTGATTTAGACAATCTCTTTTTTTTATCCAATAAATATATACATGTTAGGTCAGATATTAAAAAATAAAATAAACACCAATGATGTTAGGTTAATCAAATACTAGGAAAGAGTTAACAATTTTTATAATTATATTGCTAATGGTCCAATAGGTGACTGGACAATTACAAGTAACAACGAAGTTAACTGGTCGCTCCAATTATGTGGATTGATAATATGTACAGAAATGAAAAGATTATAAGTGTTTACTTTTTGGCTTTTCCTTTTGAAACATATTTTCTTCACTGGAAAGAGTGGAAATTTAAACGAATATGATCGATCTTATGAGGTGTTTTTCTGAGGAGAATGCAAACCAAAAAAGGACCATTTTGGACGCAAACGATATTATATGATTACGAAAAGCCCAAGCAGATAGTTGAAGAGTGAACTGAGAGAGAGAAAAGGAGAGCAAACTCGAAAAAAGAGACTGAAACAGTTGCTGTGTTGTCTTTCTCACATGTAAAGACCTTCAGGAACTCCTTCTTTCTTCTTGAACATAACCTTCTCTTTCGCCTTCTTGAAGTCGGGATGCGTCACCTAAATCATAATTGACCGATAAAATGGTCAGAATAATATTACAAAGAGTCCATAAGGTGTTACAAGCAGTGAATCAGAGAAATCGTTAATTACTTTCATTCGACGCTCTCTGAGAGCAAGCAGACCAGCCTCTGTGCATATCGCCTTTATATCAGCGCCTGAGAACTCGTCTTTCGTCATTACAAACTCTTCTAGATTCACATCTTCAGACAAAGTCATCTTCGATGTGTGTATCTAAATAATGGCATGCAATTAGAAACCAACCTGATAGTTTCTACAAAAAAAAATCACAAAAAGAAAGAAAAGTTCAGGATCATCAATTGTATTACCTGGAAGATACGTCTCCTTGTTTTGATGTCTGGAAGAGGGAACTCGATCTTCCTATCGATCCGGCCTGGTCTAAGAAGTGCCGGATCTAGACTTTCGATTCTGTTTGTCGCGAGGATCACCTTAACATCCCCTCTAGAATCAAATCCATCGAGCTGGTTCAGTAGTTCCAACATAGTTCTTTGGATTTCCCGTTCTCCACCTGAGTTCGCATCATACCTGTTTCAACAAACCATTTTATATATCGGATTAGATACCATCTCTGCAGCAAAGTCCGGCTCTCCTTGTTATCGATGAATCACGTTTTGTGTTATAGTAGACATACCGCTTAGTACCAACGGCATCAATCTCGTCTATGAAAACAATAGATGGTGAAAGGTCATCCGCAACCCTGAAAAGCTCCCTCACAAGCTTGGGACCATCTCCCAAATACTTTTGAATCAGTTCACTACCAACAACACGCAAGAAAGTAGCTGATGTAGAATTTGCCACTGCCTGAAAGAATACCAATAAATAATACTTCTTATCAACCACATTTCCAAAATTAACAAGTGTAAGACTCAACTGCAACAATCCAAGCTTGATAAGTAAGACAAAACAGCAAAAAGAAAACATTAGATAATAAATCCAAGTTATTCTGACAAACTTCCTCCATCTGAAAAATCCTTAAGACTACGATCTAATGTCTCGAATCTACGTGATCAAATCAAAGAAGCGACTACCCTGACTAATTTCTCTTTCCCAGGACACATAAGAATTGATATAGATTCCGATTGAGCAAAAAGTCATTAAATGAAGCTTCTAACTTATTACGCTATAGGGGCTAAAGGCAAACCTTAGCAAGCAATGTCTTTCCAGTACCAGGCTCGCCATACAAGATCACACCTTTCGGTGGTTTAATACCGATATCTTCATACAACTCGGGATGAGTCAAAGGAAGCTCAACTGCTTCCTTAATCTCCTGAATCTGAGCTTCTAAACCTCCAATATCAGCATATGACTCCAAAGGAGCCTTCTCAACTTTCATCACAGACACCATTGGATCAACTTCATCTTGAAGAATCCCAACAACAGATAGTATCTATATCACAAAAAACAAAACCTTAATTCCACAAACCTAATGACAGCAACAAAGGAAGGACAAAACAAAACCCTAATTCAACAAACCTTGTTATGCATCAAAATTGAGCATCCAGGTTCAAGCTGATCTTTATCAACAAAAGACAATATCCCAACGTAATACTCAGGACCAACCGAAGAAGAAACAATCGCATGATTCTCATCAATAAGCTCTTCTAAATTCCCAACACTCATTGGTGTACCACGAAGATCATCAACTTTAGATCTATCTTCTTCAGCTTTCTCTTCTTGAGGTTTCAATCTCTCTTGATTCGCTACGAACTCTTCTTCCATAAGCAAATAGTCTTTGATTCTCTCCATTTTAAGCAATCGAAGCTTACATTTAGTAGAAGGAGTCACCGTTGGTAATCTAGCTGCAGCTTCGGGTCCTTTTTGCTTCCGTTGCTTCCTACCGACACGAGCAGGTGGTGCGGCTGGTTCGAATTTCTTCTCCTTTTTGTCACCACCGTCTGGTTTCCGATCTCCTTGCCGATTCAAACCACCGGATGGTCCTTGACCCATGCTGATTGAGATTTGCTTTCTCTCTTTGCTTTCGTTTCTCTGAGATTGCTCTCGCTTACGGGAAAAGAAATCTTCTCATCTGATCGAGAAGAGAAGAATCGTAAGTGTGAGAACTTAATGGGCCTTTTGTTATCTCAGTCTTGGGCCTATAGTTTTTGTGAGTCCAGAATTTTAAATATTAATTAAAGAAAATAAAAAAGAGAGAGAAATTGGTAAACAAAAATGAGAGAAATTGGTAAACTAATTAATTAGGAAGACTAATTGATTAGAAGTGGGCGGAAAAATGATAGTGAGAAATTGGGAAGAGAGTTTTAGTCTCAAGATAAAGTGTTTAGATAGTATTTTATCGTGAGGTTTAAGTGTAAGTAAAAAGAGTTAAATCTTTTTTCTCATAATATTTATTTGCAAATGTATCATGCATCTAAAGTTGGATTAGTGTTTTTAACTATCATTTTTGTACTTTTTACATATGTTCAACAAACTGGTTTCAAAATTTATAGTGAGGTCATCGCTTTACGAGATGCAGCGCGTGGGATGCGACATGTCCGAGGCCGAGGTGCACTTCGGAATCAACATTGTCATCTTAATCGTTTTGTGGAGCAAAACTTGTTCGCTTTTACCTATCACTATCGCATGTAAACGATAAATTATATTAATCTTTTGACTAGAGAAATCGTTGAACATATTTAAGAAAATTTGTCGACATTTCCTTAAATTTGTCGACAACTATAAAATAAGTTTATAAATGAAGAGAAATTTTAAGAAATATCACTTTTCAAGTGCTGTTTTTCAAAAATATCACATTTTCAAAATTTTGTAAAAATGCCACTTTTTCAAAATTATTTTTTCATTATATCATTTATGTTTAGGTTAACTATGTTGTA